AACGTACTGGGGTACCAAATACGGGGCCGCTGCAAAAGGCACAGGAAAAATTTATTAGCACATATTTTGCGCTGCCTCCGAATTTCTGAATTTCTGAAACATCAAAAAGACGGTTTTGCAACGGAAGTCACTCAATTTGGAGGGAAGTGACCGCTACTTCCTCCGCTCTGCGACTAGAAAAAGGCTTCGTGCCACCGGGGGCCTAGTCGCTTCGGATGGGTGCGAGCTCGTACAGGGTTTCGAAATGGGGGCGCCAAGGCCGGCGAAGCGGCCGGGGGCGCACCCATTTCGAAAGAGTGGAGCGGCAGCCCATCCGAAGCGACGGCCCGCCTTGCCTGACAATTTCACAGTCAAAAATGTCAAAAATATAGTGTAGCTTCCTCCGAACAACTTTCCCAAAGGTTTTTACAATTGTAAATGCTAGAACTCGACGAGATCTATTTATCGCAGGCGAAAAATCGCATTTTTACGAGGTTACCGTAAAGTGAACCAACCACTTTAAAACGTTTATAACTTTCGTTAAAAGCGAGACCCAATCTTTTTTTCAACGGGAAACGCGAGAACTCGATGAGATTTATCGATTCCAGTCGAAAAATCGAGATTTTATTTAGTTACCGTAAAGGGAACTAGCCAATTTAAAATGTTTATAACTTTTTTTAGGAGTGAGTCCCAATAGTTTTTTCAACTGGAAATGGTAGAACTCGACGAGATCTATCGATTCTAATCGAAAAATCGACATTTTATTTAGTTACCGTAAAGTGAAATTTAGCCAATATTAGATATTAGAAAAACTATTTCCACCTCTGGATAAAAAAAGTAAAAATGAAACTTACCCCGCTCTCCGAGCGCAATCCGCTCTCCGTCATCCATAATAATTGTTCTTTTAAGCTTGGCACCAATAGCATTATCACGCACGGCAGCTTCAGTAGGTTGAAGCCCTTTGAAATACTTTTTATGGGAAATTGTGGTTGTCAGATTTCCCAGTAAGAGGCCACCAATTTTCGGTTAGAGTTTACCTGACTCTGGTGGGGTACCGAAGTTTTATCAGATCCCTTAAATTTTTAATGCTTCCTTAAATTTTATCCGGTCCTTTAAAGGGCGCCTCTCATTTCGCCGCTATCAACTGGCTGTGGTAATGAGGGACTGTTCATGCGCGCTATCCCTACGTCCATAGTGTCCCATGGGATTAGCCCAAGCTCTAAAAGTTAAACTAGCCATTTAAAGATGGCCGCAAAACCCCACTAGCGGTATAAATACGTTTAAAAGGCCGTTCGCGAGAGACCCGAACTGGCTTGGTACATTTTTTCCACCCTGTTTTTTTTTGACGCATGCACAAAGGCAAAAAGGAAAATGCATTGTTTTTGGCATTTATCAAGGAGATTTATTTCGATCTGACTTGCTTTCGACCCGGGTCAAAAAAAAACGTGTTCGAAGCCTGTATGACCTGTATGCTTGGCAATTCATGCAAAGCTGTCGGACGACAATCGGCCGCGACAAGTAGGCTCCGCGGCTGTACTTTGTAGAACAACTTGTTCAGCACTAATAAAATAGATTGTGGATGTGCATCTATTCCGCTGTCTGGTGACAATACCCTGGAACTTGTTAGAGATATGTGATTGAAGACGGGCAGGATTTCCAGGCAGCGACGTGCTCTGGGGGAGCAGCAAAGTGCAAATTTTTGCGCAACTGAAGCGCCACATAAGAAAATTTTTTTGCAAACTAAGCAAAAGGACAGCGCGTCAAGCCAAAAAAAAAAAATCATAAAATGCTTGTATTTACGTTTTTTTTTGTGGGCCGGCCCCGCTGCCCCCTTGTCCGTGACTAACGGTAAGCCTATGGTTAGCATGCACGAAAAACCAATGGTCTTCGAAATTCCGAGAATGTCCGGCGCACGTCCGACACGGCTAGGCTGTTGCACGGCCGTTGCACTGCCCCAACCAGACAAAAAAGGACTTACCTTTCCTCAAAAGGACCAGCATCTAACATCGATCGATTCACGAGCTTATAAAAAAGCTGCTGCCTTGTCCCGGTGGTACACCAAAGCACGATAATATGATCGTCTTTACTGCGACACCAAATTCTGATGTCCTGAAATGAAACCAAGTTTGACGTGACAAAAGGAGGACCGGAGCCACAAGAGCCACAAAAAACGCTGCTAAAAAAGGCACTACCGCTCGTGTCAGGAGGACGGTGATTCGGTTGATTTTGCGACTGGTCATACCCATCATCGCCATACGGCCCCATGTGTTCCGCTGTAATCAGGGGATCTCATAAATGATGTTAGAGAAAGGTTGTGAGGAAAATATTAGCATACGCCGGAAGTGGGGAACCATATAAAAAGAGGGAGAGGGATTGTTTTCCCATTTCTTTGTCATCCTGATTCCCGAACAGCTATGCAAAGTAAAAACTACAGTAAAACTAGTAAACTAACGAGGGGTTGGGTTCTTCTTCCATAACCTGGGGTGGGGATTTTAGCCGGGGATTTTAGCCGGGGGGCAAATTTTTTTCGGGGATTTTTTAAAAGGGGCAAATTGGCCGACGCCAAACTTATTAATTTTCTCAGGGTTATTTGAAACTCAAGATTCAATAGATGGAAAACGAACCTTTGCAGCTCGAAGGAGATGTACTTTCGACAATAGTCCCAAATGAGCCAAAGTAGCTTGTTGCGCAAAGTGCGGCAGCTTGGTGAATGGAAATGGCATTGATGGTGGGGATGGGTGATGATGCGTTGTAGAAAGTTGTAGAAAGGATGAATGACCGCTTTGGGTACGTTGTTACTATTTTTGAATGAATGCCAGATGTCTAACCCGCAAGACAGGGTCAACGTATTAAAAGGATATTTCTTATCAGGACTCTGTATGTCTCCCCTTGACATCTGCACATGCTAACTTAGGCATGTCTGCATGTGGGAAGGGGGTGCCGTCTTCTGTACGCCCTGTTCAGCGCCCTGGGCGGATCACCAGGGAGGATTGGTCCGATTTGTCAACGAGCCGAGAGGAGGGGAAACCCACCCAACTGACCCCAATCCCTAGCAAGCTGGGTCCCGAGTAGTGTTGGGAAATTAGCTCGGCTCGAAAACCGAGCCGCTCGAAAACCGAGCTTTCGGCGAAACCGAGCGGCTCGGTTCCACGGCTCGAAAAACCGAGCCGAGAACCGAGCCGAGCTAATTTCCCAACACTAGTCCCGAGGCGAAAGTGGAGGGCACGGACCCGCCACTTCGAGAGGAACACCTAGACACCGCCGAAATTTCACAAAATATTTTAAAGGGACTGGGAAGGTATGGGAAGGTGTTTGATTTGCGCTGGATTTCCTATGGATTCCGTTAAGGCAGTGACACGCAACGCGCGTGTTCGCTCTGTCCGGCGTGCGTTGCGTAGCGCGGGACGTTCAAATTTGTGAGGAATCCGGCGTCTAAGTTTCGCCTGTTTGCCCATGTTGTAGTTGTCCAGGCCTAGCCGTGCTAGGGGTCGATTCTTGCCCATAATATTCTCCGTCAACCGAGAAAGCTACAACGAACTTTTCGATGTTTAGTAGGATTTCGTTCGATTTCGATTTCGATTTTTTCGCCTAAAATCTTGTAGGCATTGATCGTTTCGATATTTTCACGTCTCCAGCCCAGAGACCCCACCCAAACAACGGTCATGCTCCGCGACAAATGACCCCGGTGCGGTATACGGTCTCCCCCAAGACGAGACAACCCCCTCCTTATTGGGTGTTGTGCTGCGTACTGCAAATTGAGGCGCGCTGCGTGCATGCATCTCTGTTACCGCGGAGGGTCTCACGCCGAGCGAGCGCGTCTCCCGGCCCGAATCCGTCGACTGTAAAATCGGGACGAGCAGTGCTGCTGGACCAGCCGTGTCGGTGAACGAGGGTCAATCCGACTGGAATCCACCGCATACACACAAAACTCGTCCCATTAACCTCTCGCCCTTCAAATACCAGATCTCAACCCCTGGCCCGCGGGCGCTACCACCAATACTGCCAATCCGGGGTTAACAAAATTTAACTAAAAACTTTAATTAACAAAAAAACGGTTTTACCGAGTTGCCAATCGACCCCCCCAAAGCGGCCCGGAAAATGCTCGGATCAGGATCAGAGCATCAGCGACTCCTCGGCCTGACGCGGTACGCCTGGATCGAGTCGCGTTCCATCGAAAAACCGCCAGTGCTCTGAAAACCTTTAAAATAAAGCTGCGAAAAACCGTATCATCTAATGCTGATGATTGCCAAACACCTGTCCGAAAAATCACTCGTCCGAAAAAACATGTGTCCGAAAAAAACTTGTCCGAAAATCGTCTATCCGAAAAATCATGTGTCCGAAAAGTCGCCTGTCCGAAAAACACCAGTCCGAAAAACTAATGTTCGAAGCAGCCAAGCAAAACTCTTTTCGAATTACTTAGCCAGTTCCTAAAGGTTCGAGGTGTAACTGCCACCAGATAGCCCCCACGTGGGGAAAGCCCCGGAATCGTGACCAAACCAAGTTTCATCGGCCGTATCTTAGGGAATGCCTGCCCGAGCTCATTGAGTCACTCTCCAAAAATTTATGATACAGTAGCGGTTCGTATCCCTGGGAACTACCCTCCCCTTTGCTCCAAAATCCGGTTTGAATAGATTACCTGAAGGTCTTGGGAAGTTTCGGCCGTACTTCGATTTCATAGCCGAAATTTACTTTTCGGGCAGTAGATTTTCGGATGGATGATTTTCGGACAGGCGACTGTTCGGACAGATGTTTTTTCGGACAGGTGATTTTCGGACAGGCGATTTTTCGGACAGGTGTTTTTCGGACTGATGTTTTTCGGACAAATGATTTTCGGACAGGTGATTGCCACCCAATGCTGATACTTGTATACCGGTTGAAACCCAATCCGGGCCGTCAAAATACCATAACGTGCGTTTTGTCAAAGGTAGAAAAGCATCATTATCGAAATAAAAATTAATTACTAGTACAGGCAACACCGACATCGTAAAATAACAACAAAAATGTGAACAGCAAAAAAATCAGGTGATCGTCTCCACGTCGTAGATCCGGTCGTTGTAGTCGTCGGGTGAGTAGAATGTCGCCCGAATGTTGCGCCCGGCGAAGAATCGGTTGTTCTGGACGATAAATGCCTAAAATGGACGGTACACGCAAAGTCTATAGAAACGCACCTTGATTGCTTGAGGCACGTTCGAATACTCGACAAATATCCGCACCTCCTCGTCCTCTGGGGTACCCTCAGGCATCTGAAAAATGAGCAAGAAATGTGGACTTTTTTACACCGAAGATGAAAATTCCAAATTTCATGACGATTTCGTTGAATTAGTTAGGTTTTTAGATTGCGGTATTTTGCTTCACGGGGTGCCATGCGGTATTTGGCATACGGCATTATGCTACCAAATCCAAAAAAGCGACTGACCAAATGAATATGTGAACTGGACACGGTGCCGTACTTGCCCATCTCGGCCTCGATCTCCGATTGCAGGTCGGCGTCCACCTCACTTTTCCCCACGAGATTCTGGACGACATATTGCTTTTAATGAAAGAAATACCCGTAAAAGCACTACGCGGCTCGAATGCTTCATCGCGTCAGCCACGTTCGCCGTCCCAACGCCTCGTGGTGCCGCCTTTTGAGCTTCTGAGAATAGCAGCTGATTGTTAGTTTCATGAACTGAAGAGTCACCTTTGATTGCCGCCTGAGTTTCTGTCAAAATCTGCCCGGCATTTTGTCCCACTCGTTGAACTGTTAACGCGCTGCTAATGCCCTGCTCGGACTTGCCGAGACCGAAGCCTAAAGAGCGGAACTCCAAAACTGTCTAAAATTCATTACCTTGTTTGTATCCCATTTTGCTCATGATATTCGCCGCAACGCCCAGTCCACGGCTCTTTCCACCAAACCCGGGCTTGATCGCCGGTGCAGTAAAAGTGGGGGCATTTGATGAGGTGGGTTCCGGCTCTTCCTCCTAATCATGAATGAAGCCAACGCTACTAACAATTTACCTTAATTTTAGGCTCGTCTTGGTAGATTGTGGGTGGGGCAAAAGCTGCATACTTTGCCCGTTTCTTCTCTTCTTCAACATGTTCCCTCGCCAACCGTTCGGCAATTTCCCGCGCAACCTGACGAAATTTTTCATCGCCAAACCCATCGGCATCAGACCTTTTCTTTTGCCGCCATTGCATCTAGTTTCTTGCGCATGTCGAAGTAATCATTCGGGACGGCCGGTTGGTATTCATTTTCCACGACAACCTCGTTGAAAAGTAGCACCTAATTAGGTGTATTTGACGAGCTGGATACCAAATACCTTATCTTCCAGTGCAGCATTGGGTAAAAATTTGAGAGGCGCGGCATCGTTTAGTGGAGTAGCCTAAAAGCTGCTCTAGAAAAGGCAGAACTAAAAAAAATATCGAAACCATCAAAGCGGAATAACGAATTCAAAAAGAAATACCTTTACAGGATTCACGGACGGTTTGAGCGTTGGTTGAAAACTCGGCTTTGGGGCGGCTTTGATGTTCAGTTGAGGCTTCGGGCCCGCTTGGCCGGATAGATTAAACACCGGGACGGCTTGGGCAGTGGTGCGCGGTACGACTGGCTAAACGGGTTTCTACATAACACACCCGACAAGCAGTTCACCTGGTTGATGACATTTTTCTTATGCGCCAAATTTTGCTGGAAAAACTTCATCGATATCTTGGATGGGCCAGGCTCCTTCATCGGCTCTTCAAACATTTCCTCTTTCTTCTCGGGCTCATGTATGTAGTCGTCATCGTATAACATCACGCGCTTTGGGCCCTAAATTTTTATTTGTTTTTATGACAAGCGGAAAACCACGTATTTGAGATAAATGAGATCATTCGGGAGGGGGAAACAAAGTAAGCAAAAACATGAAAATTAAATTAAAGTAATCAATTGGAAGGCTTTACATAGGCAAAAACAGCGTTCATTTGCTCATTCACTAAATCCGAAGGTGCCCGACTGAGCACATGACCTTCGTAAATTCGGGTTAATTTTTTAATAGAGTGGCAGGGAATGATGTGAAAATCCTTGGGTGTGCCGTCGTTTTCAGCGAACGATACAAGCACGAGGTGACCGCCATCTGGATCGATCGTGTATATATTCCCAGTTAGTTCCGCTTTAGTTTTTACTTTTATGCACACCGGCATTCCAACGAGTTCGGCGAGTTTTCCAATTTCTAGTGTTTGCATTTGTGGCCTGTCGAAATTCTTCATTAGCTCGATATAAAATTATTAATGAAAGCCAAGCGGCGTAAATAGTGAATGACTGGAGCAAGCCCCGCTGAATGGAACGAAAGAAGATGGACTGAATGCGTCAGCAGGTTTATTGCACGAAATTTAGACAATGAATCACAGAAAAAGGCAGGTGGAACCCAGAAAAATACAACCAATATTAGCAAAATCACAATAATGGGGAAGGCAAGTTAAAGCTGATTTGCATGGAGTTTAGGCGACGGTGAAAAAGAGTTGGAAAAGCCCTTGAAGGTAGCCGACGATTTCCTGCGCTCCCAGCTTCGATTCACCAAAGAAGCGGTCGACGAACGTGATTGGGATCTCGCCAATTTGATAGCCCAACTTCTTGGCACGGAACATCATTTCCATCTAAGAAGGTCATAGGCACATACAAATCGGCAAATACCTGGAAAACGTAGCCCTTCGAAACACAGTGAGCAATCAATGTAGCGAGGATTTCTTTCCTGAAAAAAATCGATTTACCCAAATTATAATACCTGTATAGCCGGAATGAGCCGGTCAGATCAGAAACGCCGGGGTTGAGAAAGAACTAAAGAAGCGTATTTCAGAAGGAATTAACTGGCATACCTGAGCAAGACAGTTGGCACCCGCAGACATTACTTTTCGTCGCAGATCCCATCCAGAGACGCCACCGCCCGGCGCATAGCGAGTACCGGTGACGATGTCAAGCTAGAAAAGCGATAAAATCAAACCCCAATAAACCCACATTTTTACTTTTTTGCAGCTCGATCATCTGCAGGATGAATTTGGGGTGATGCGAAAGGTCGGCATCCATAATGATAATGAACCTGGTGAACAAATTTTCGCCAATAAAAGAATATACCCACTCGCCACGTGCGTGCTTCAACCCATGGATGTAGGCGGTGCCCAGGCCTAATTTGCCCTCACGTGGCCGCAGGATTATTTTGTCGGCGCCGAATTCTTTCTGCAATAAAAATTGAAACATAGCGTATTTAGGAAACCTGGCATTTCTTGGCAACTTCCAGCGTACCATCCGGGCTGTTGTCGTCAATAACGATCACCTAGGAGAAAATTCGAAAGCTGGTCGCAATAATCACCTCATACGAGTGCTTCTTCAAATATTTCTCGATCAGATATAGGCAAATCGGAAGGTTCTCTTTTTCGTTGTAAGTTGGCAGCAGTATGCTGTACTTCGGAGCCATCTATAAACTTTTCGTCAGTGCCGACGGGAGAAGCGGCAATAAATAGATGGTTGCAAAACCTGTGATGGGATTGACATCGTGTAATCGTAAAAATTTATGCGTAACGAATAGCAGGACAAACAGAACGACAATCTACGCTATCAATGGTCTAAACGATTATGTACACGCATCACGAATTGAAAAAAAAAGACATCACTTATTTTTCTTCTTGTTGTCCTTCCTTTTCTCCGGTGCCTTGTCCGCCAACGCCTGCTTCGGTGCGGCTTTGTCTGCGGCTGCGAGTTTTGTGGCCGTCTCCGGTTCAGGTTGTGCCCAGTACTTCATGTATTCATTTGAATCGAAATTGTCGTCGATAACCTCCTAAACAAACGAAAAATCATGAAAAATCGAGATAAAATTACCTTTCTGATTTTCTTCGCTTTCGGTTTACGCGCGGCGAGCCGTTGACGCCTCTCATCATCCGTCAACGTCTTCAAATCGATGGCAAGTTGAACTGTCTATTAGGAATGATTGACGCACAAAGTACAAAGATACCTCTCTTGGCTCGTCGGCACGAACTTGGATTGTGGAACCATCGGGCCGGATGAGCCGCACCGGATACTTGAGAAGATACTGTGAGCGTCCGATCTTGCCAAGAGACGCCCGGTGAGCGTTTTGACGAACTAAACGAAAACTTTAAAACAAGCTCAAGCGCACCAAATTTAACGCAAAAATTATTACCTACAACTTCCTGCATGCTCCGTGATATAGACGCCAATCGCATCAGCGCCGGACGGCCGTAGGCGCTCATAGCTGCCTAAATTTATCTATATTTATGTAAGACACCCGTAAAAACATGAGAACAACGAAAATGAGAAGGCACCGTCAAGCAAATCAGTCACAGTATATACACACGGAAAACGCAATCATTTGAGAGGTCTTTTTCCGCTGGATTCAGATGCCTTGATTCAAGGACGAACGCGAAGGGGTCGAATTGGCGCCCTGGGCTGATTGTGCGCGCCTGATGATGTTGATCAGGACTATTGGGTTGGCTCCGCGGGCGATGAAGCGTTGGCAGACGAGCAATTGGGCATCAGTCATGGTGAGGCCGACGAGTTCGGCCAGTCTCTGTACATGGCCCAGCGTGCGTAATTCGTCCTCGGTCGGCGGGCCACTTGCAAGGCTGTCCATTGGGTTTCTAAAAATAAGTGCTTCACAGGCAACTTTCTAGGATCGAGGGTGCAACGAATAAGAGGATATTTCGCGGCAAGAGCAAATTTGCGGCGGATAAGAATGCTTGGATGCACTTCTAGTGAAATAAAGAAATATTTGAAAAATGGGTACTATTCAAGTTCGGGGGCAAAATTTTTTTTGATGTCTGTTTTGGGCTACTTGATCAGTTTTTCGCGGCTGATCAAGCGCAATGCTCTACTCCTAAGCCAAGCTAAGCCAAAGCTCAGTTAAATCGAGCTTAAACAGAGCTAAGCCAACGCCAAAATCAGTGAAACAATGAAAAGCTAAGCTACGGTAATTTGCCCCCCTAACTTGAATAGTACCGAAAAATGTTATATCGCGCCCCGTGAATTTTCGATAGGATGATGATGCAGCAATTCAAGCCCAAGAACCGGGGGAAAAGCCGTAAAGGCTAGCAAATGTTAGAGCATTGTAGTATCAAAAGTACAACAGTCCCAAATCGAGCTATATTACGCGGATTATCGGATTTCCAGGCTTCCGGGGCTTTTCGCAACCGTGTGTTAGTAATTTCCAAATGATAATAAAGATAATGACCATCAATTTCTAAATATAAAGATGGCAATTCCTAAAACTCATGCGATTGCTGATATTTGTACCGCCAGAAATAGCGGGGGGGGGGGCGATAGAACGTTATTATCCGCAAATTTCCGGTTGTCTGATATCCCTTCATATCAAGCACGAGTTTACAAGTTTTACAAAGCTCAGATTTTAAAAACTTCAGGCTTGCAATTGCCAGCCGCCCTCACTCGTTGCCAGTCTTTTCAATAGAGGCGCTGGCGCGGGGCCCGCCTACTGTGCTCCGTAGCCCGATCCATGCTCTAGGAAACGGCGATAAGCCCCAGGGGCCACGGTCAAGGACGCGACCCCCCACAGGAACTGTAATCAATGTTCCGGCAAGCCAAATGCCCTTATTTGGGCGGGCAGCTCGCTCGATGCTTCACTGTCCCCCCACCGGCGATCACCTGGCTTCTTCAGAGGCAGCGCCGATTTTATCTTTATTACAGCGCGTGAGGTCTGAAAGTTCAGGGGGGGGGGGTGTAGAACTTGATGCTGTGCCGTTTTCAATCTCCAACCTAGCGCTTGTCGTCGAGGGTATTTGCTAGAGAATGTTTTCGTGCTTTCCGTGCTGCGGGCTTCCGGTGGGTGCGCGTTTCGGCGGGCTTTCTGGGGGGTAGAATGGTAGCGCTGGAACCTTGAAATCGTTTTTTTGGGCGCCGTCTCTTGAAAATGCTTTTTGTTATTTATTTGTTTAATTAATGTTGATGCGCGTCCCTGTTATAGGCGACGGCTTTTTTGGCGAGAAACCTTAACTAATTTTGTTGTTGCCTTTTTCTGCCTTCATGTCTAGTAAGGAAATGAGTGTATTACTTTGATTTTGGTGATGTTTTCTGCTAAAACGTCATAAAGTAATTTTGCAAAATCCTAAAAATCTGAATTTAGTAGTTTTCTGCTCTAAAAAGTCCTAAATTAATTTAGTAAAAATGTGTAAAGCGCAGGTTTTTCTTCAAAATTCTCGAAATTTTTAATTCCGCATTTTGGTTGCAAATCGAAGATTTGTCGTCGAAAAAACGATTTTTTTCTGTATTTTGTAAGAAAAATCGTACAATTTTTGCATTTGGTAAAGGCAAAAAAAGTTTAGAAATTATATTAGACAAATTAAAATAAAGCAAGGTTGGTTCCCATCATAAATTAAGCATGCCGTTCGATTTTTAAATAGTTAGTTGTAAAATGCTAAATTTTTAATATGTAAACCAGGGTTGAAAAGCCGCTTCGCGACTTTTCAACCCTGGCCCCGTCTAGCCCCTGAACATTCCTCACTCTGCATTCGTCTCTCGAATTTCGATGAGAAAAATACAAAACCGCACCCTCTAGCTGATTATATAGGCTCTTGCCACTTCCGGTTTATGCAGATTTTTCCTAACAAAGAGGCTTGTCGAAAATTTTACAAAAACTTAAATTTAATGTTAAAAATAGCTTATTTTGTAAAATCTGATAGGCGTGCAGTCATCCCAGAGCCATTACGCACCTACCGACGTATCATACGTGCCATAAAATTTATCCCCTATCGAGATATCCCCCGGACATGGTGACGGAAGTTGCATGCAAAGTGGCACACACACACATACACACAGAGGGTTCCGGCAAGCCAAATGCCCTTATTTGTTATACCGTGTTACAATGCACATACACATACACTGTTTTTGGGTGCATTTGACCCGGTTTCTTTGGGTGGGCCAAAATTATGACCACTTGCCAGAATGGAATTTCGACTAAAAAATGGATTTTCGCAAAATGTAAAATTTTTTCCGGGATTTCCTTTAAGCCCTTGTTTTTCAATAGCGTGGTGAATAACATACTTGAAGCGTTTCCCCGTTCATTAGTACGGGGCCGAGAAATTCACGAAAATTTGGGGTGGGCCAAAATTATGTCCGGCAGTGTAGTAGGATTCGCACTTTTTTGGCCGTCTGACTTCCATGGAGTGGATTTCGTTGCATTGAAAAACATGGTTGAGGAAGGGGGAACCGGTTGGCGGCGGCCAAATCGAAGGCTTACCCCCGATCCAGCATTATCAGCCCCGCAGCCTCAGACTACGACACCAGACTATGTTTGGTGTTTTTAGCCGTTGGGGTCAATGGCTAGGGGAAAGTTTAAAAAAAGCTTAAGCTCAAGTTTTGAAGTTGTGAAACTACCTAAGTTAAGCTAAACGGGTTAAAAATTGGAATTTTCGATTATTTTAACATTCTCTCGCGAAGTTTTGAACATTGAAAATTTTGGTGCTTTTTCATTATCGGGGGGCTTTTCGTAAGTGTCCTTTTTATATCAATAGAAAAAGTGCTTCTAAACTGATCTTGCTATACTTAAACGTAAACTTTAGAAAATGTAGTAAAAAACGCAAAAATATCGATTTTCCACCAAAATTTCGAACTTTATAAAATTTATAAATATTTTTCCACGTCGGATATATTTAATCTTGACTAGAAGCATGTTTAAGACAGTTTTTATTACGCTAATAGGCATTATTTGATCCAGGAAAAATGAGGTGATCTTAGATACCCCCCTCCCCCGATAATGCAAAAGACCCCGAAAATGTCCGAAATTTTGGGGCTTTTTGAAGGGAGTGTGAAGATTTCTTAATACCACGCTATATTCATGCACTTTTTTATCCATAATTTGTTCAGCGAAAAAAGATGGGCATCGGCTCGTCGGCGCCGATAATTAGCGACAAGGTAATACTGACAGGAATATTTTTTAAATTTTTTAAATTTCCAAGACAGTCGAGACGACGTCTGGCCGAGTCCGAGGTCGCCGCTATACAAATGTTGATGGACGACTGGTGGATGGTTTTCTTGGCATTCCGTATGCCGAGCCACCGGTTGGCGAGCTGCGTTTTCAGGTGGTTTTTAGGAAAGATATTGATGTAAAAATCACGAGTTAGTTATGATCATTCCCCCAGAATATACCTTAGAGAGGGGATTATTTTCAATACGTCGAAATTTACTACGGAAATTTAAAATGCCGACATTTGAAATGTCGGAATGTGATAATGTCAAAATTCATATTACCAAAACGGATATCGAATTTTCAAAATGTCGGCATTTTCGCATTTCATTTGGGCGATTCTCGAAGGATTTGTGCATGTTAAACTTCGACGTATGGAAGTCTGGACTTTTTGAACAACTCGACAATCCCATTTTCGATATTATGACATTTCGACATTATGAGTTGAGCAATAACAAAAAGCAAAAAACCTGATATTCAAATTTCCCTCGTTTAAACTTCCTAAATCATAATCCCGACGACCAAAATGCCGACAGATTCCTGACGCAGAAATTTCGTCTGTCGGGATTTCGGCTGTCGGTATTATGGAAGGTCGGGCTTTTGGCTGTCGGTATTATAGGCGGTCGGGATGTGACTGTCGGTATTTTGGCTGTCGGGACTTCGTCTTTTTGGTATTATCGGCTGTCGGGATTTTGGCCGTCGAAAAGTAGCCAAAATTCCCGCAAAAGCGCCATGTTTAGAAACCAGTGCCCGTCAAAAAATGGGCCGACACACTGGACTGCTTCCACTTTGGGCCGAGATGCCCGCAGACCGACGAGTATTTCACCGGATTCCTGAACATTGTCGGGAAGGACGAGGCCAAGTGCTTGACGCTGAACATTTTCGCGCCCCAGTGGACCAGCGAGGAGTTTGTGAGTGATTTTCGACGCGTGGAAACTTGCTGAATTTAGCCCCAAGGCCACCCGGTGATGGTTTGGATTCATGGCGGTGGTTATACGATGCACTCCAGCTCAAACTATGGGGATCGCACTTTGGCGAGGTTGGTTAAAGGTCTTAACAAGTTAATTTAGCTAAAAATGTCGAAATTCAGAATGGGCGGGAAAAGCATTTTGGGCGTATTATTTGGGGGATTTTCCGCGCGATTTGTTCATTTGTCAAATCGACCGTATGCCATTTCGGCATTTAGGCTTTCGACATTGTGAAAGTCGGCATCATGAAATTTCGACATTCTGAATCTTGTCGTTAGGAAATTTCGACATTCTGAATTTCGACATTGTG